ATATAGGCCTATATTAAATTTAGTGAATTGAAAAAAATGTACATTACTTAATCGATAAATATTTTCAGATCGATATATTTATAATTATTAAAGTGCTCTAATCCCAACATACGTTAATGGAGACAAAAATAGGATTTTGCTAAAATTCTATAGGCATACCTTCTGTTTATATATATATTTAAAAAAAAAACAAAAAAAAACAAAAACCAGCAAAACCTTTTTAACTGGGATTCGGTTATGATGTCATGGTCATTTGAAAGTGATATGATTTGATTAATTTATTCAGCGTCATAATGGCATCTAGTACCATACAGATAGCAAACACATGATTTTCTTGCGTGTAAGTTGTTCTGGTCGATATGTTAAATCGATATATACAATATAGCTAACATTTTGAATATTTTTCACAACTGTTGTTAACTTCCATGTCGAGCAATAGTTTTTGCTTATTCACGATGACTCTTGGTAGTTGAGAATAAAACATATCTATCAAAAAACATTCAAATTCAAACATGACTAACTTCATACTAATTGTAGCAGCAACTTACAAGTTTGTGAAGTCCTGTGGTGTGTGAACAAGTATTCAACGATCATTTACATTTTCCATTAGTTTTATTTAAGAAAAAAAAACATGAATAAAAGAATACGATGCTGCCTTTGGAGAACTATAAATTGCGGTGTCTCTCCTTAAAACCTCAGCACAAATCAAAAAGTTATAAGTTAAAGACAAAATTAACTCATGAAATACACAATCGAAGGTTAAGACCAATCTGTCAGAAATATTATAGTCATATCACATTGTTTAAAATGTTTATATTTGGTGTTAATACTACATTCGAACGTAATTTTCAATGAAAACCTACACCATTCGTTAGAAACTTTACTTCAACCTTATTTTTATTCTTATTTATTGTAACATGTATCTACTGACATTTTTGTATTACTATTAGTCAACAAATTCTTTAAAATGGGATTCTTTGGATAGTGAATTATTGGCCAAGTATAACGCACTCGAACTTGAGGCATGTAAAAGAAACATTTTAGTATTATTATGTAGAACCTATTTAAGATTCAGTTTTAGAAAAAAAAATATGGTTGTAACTGTAATTTATATTGTACAATTACAGTAATAGGCCTATCTACACAAATTCCATGATAATTCTGATAACATGTTTTATAAACTAACAAAAATATTTGTTAACAGTGATTTTAAAAATACAAATTTAGGGCCGGTACTATTTTACTGGAATAGATTTCATGACCCGCCTACTTTAATTCTTCATTGCCGCTAATTAGATCACTTAGAACTATATAACACAATTAGATAATAATCATCAGAGAACGAAATCACTGCTAGAAAATTACAAATCGACAGCTTCTTTTATCATCCGCTCAGATCTTAGTTAATATAATACGTTCGCTTATTTATCTAACTGTCAAGATAATAAAAGATGAGAAAAATGAATGAAGTTACCGCTGGATTGAGTCTGGTCGTCTAGACCATGATATAGTAATTAACACTGCAGTAAGTCATCTAAGTGACGCGCATGCGCAGAGTTGTTAGACGGCCAAGATCAATTGTTTGACCCGATTCATATTTTCAAATACATTTTTTTTTTTAAGAAGATGGATGTATTAGTAGCTGAACATTTGTTGTCAAATTTAAAGCAATGATTGAAATGGTTTATTATGAAATTTTATACTGCTTACTACAGTTATTATTTAATAATTATTTTGTCCTGATTAAATATGAAAGCACATCTTTGGCCTATAGGCCTCCATGGCTAAATCTACATGACGTGTGCTCTATCCACATGAAATTGTATGTGACAAATAAATCTTGTATGCCCATATTTGAATGTAATATGACATTTTTTTTTCTCTTTCGTGGCAGTAACCACCACCTAGCTTTATTCAAACAAACAGTACAATACAGTACAATATTTCCTCCTATTTATTATTTTTTTCATTACCTTCATGGCATTACTGTTTATTTGTTTTATTATATCATCTTTTAACAACCAATAACGTGTATAATCGAATAAAAGTATTTTGGAATAAAATATAATTTAAAATGTTTAATACAATAATTTAATTTGTTTTATATCACACTATACGGTATAGCATTATAATATAATATACTTTATTTATTATAATCTTCATGAAATGAAAGAATACCATTTTTTTATTTTAAATATATATTATATA